TATATATTATAATAATTAAATATGGGGATAAGGTTAATTATCCATAGATTTATTCTCTTATTTAGGTGACCGATTTTTATTAATTAAATATTTGTACGTTGGTATCGGGCGCTTGAGACATATTGTTACGTTGTGAGAAATTTATTGAGGTATTATTGAGAAGTTCGATTTATAATTCGTCTTTAAATATTTGGGTTGGGTTTTTAATTCAATACAATATATATTCTTTTATATGTTTTGCTTGGGCAGGATCCAAGGCAAAGGCTCAAAATCAGAATTATTTATTTGCTCGAAATAATTTGAAATTGCCTTTTGTCAAATACTTACTCGGTCTGCCTATTTTTATTTGTATAAATATAATCATATAAATCTATTAAATATTATTTAAAATTGAATATATTCAATTCTATATTCTAATTCTGTTACTCTCCTGCCATGGGCTTCATCTCGCACGCTGCTGGAAAGCAACGGGCCCCCACTAATATATAATTAAATATAAAGAATAAATTCTTACTATCGTCCGAATTTTACTAAATTGGAATCATTTAGGGGGTAAAACGCAAATAATATATTTTTTTGCCGAAATGATGCTTTACGGAATTTCCTCAATTTCCTTAAAATATATATATATATATATACGAGTGTTGAAAAGGGCCTGCTCTTGGCCCTTCTTATAAGCGATTATGCAAATCTCCATCGCTCGTAGGTCGTTACTCGGCCTGTGTATCGTTTGCGCGTCGGCTCGCGTCGCTTGCGATTTGCTCCGTGTCACTGGGGCGTCGCCCCCCGAATCGCTTATATATCGCCCGATATCGCTTGTGCGTTCGCCCCATGTCGCTTGCGTATCGCTTACGTATCGTTTGCGTGTCGCCTTGTATCACGCAGAGTGAAAATGCTGTTTTGGGGCCCTAATGCATGAAATTTTTGTCCCGGCTGAAAAAAGGCTAAAAAACCATTTGTATATCGTTTGCATGTCGTTCGTGTGTCGATCGAGTATCGCCCCGTATCATTTACGGTTTCGCACAGCGTCGCTCGTATGTCGCCCTACTTCGATCTTGCTTTGCCTCGTGTCGTTTGCATATTGCCCTATGCGCTGCCGATTGCATTTTTTCACAACTGCCTTCAATTTGACGATACTTTCACAAAATTGAGAATAATAGTCGTTAGATGGTCCTATTAATACAAAAATTTGTTTATTTTATTGATTAAACAAATATATATTAAAAAAATAATAATTGTAGATTAAATATTTTTTAATAAACCGAAACGACCTCGAGGTCGCATTTCCCGCGCACCGACAAGTCGTTGTAGCGTGGCCGAGCCCGTGAGGGCCAGCGAGTCGCCAGCAGGTCCGTCACGGAGACCGACTCTCCCTCGAAGGCTGAGGCC